GAAAATTACCTAGGGCCGCCTCTGTCCAGGTGTTTCAGACTTCAACTTCAACAATTACTAACATTTATTTATTTATTTATTTATTTCAGTGTTTTATATACTGACCTTCTCACCTCTTTTGAGGGACTCAGACCGGTTTCCAACCATAAAAACACATACAATCGGTAAAAACATCATAGTTCATATTACAATAACACATTAAAACAACAAATATATCCAAAACTACAGTGGTCAGTCGTCATACTAAAAACCAATTATACATCATCTCCCATCCATGTCTTAGGGTGTTGTCTCACTCATCAAAAGCTTGTCTCCATAACCACGTCTTCACCTGTTTCCTAAAAGTCAGGATAGAAGGGGCGGTTCTGATCCGGTGGGAGAGAGTTCCAGAGTCACAGGGCCACCACCAAGAAGGCCCTGTCCCTCGTCCCCACCAGACGCGCTTGCGAGGCCGGTGGGACCGAGAGCAGGGCCTCTCCAGACGATCTTAGTAATCTTGATGGTTCATAGGGGAGAATACGTTCGGAGAGGTAAACAGGGCCGGAGTCGTTTAGGGCTTTATAGGTTAACACCAGCACTTTGAATTGTGCTCGGAAGCTAACTGGCAGCCAGTGGAGCTGGTGTAACAGCGGAGTGGTGTGCTCCCTGTACCCAGCACCCATTAGTAGTCTGGCTGCTGTCCTAACAGCCTACCAGCTGGAGTCCAAGACACCTAAGTCCAAGACACCTGGAGGGAGGGCCCAAGTTTGCCCATGCCTGCCGGCTATTAGGAATTGTGGGAGTGGAAGCCCAAAACACCTGGAGTTTGCCCATGCCTCCCGCAAGGGCTTCCCTGGCATGCATCCTGTGGCCTCTCATGTCTTACTCGACCTTCCCTGAGAATCTCTCTTTGGTTTCCTTTCACCAGAGAGTTTTCAACACCAAATCCTTGACCCCCTATACGTAATCCCTGCGGAAATCCTTGCCACCGAAATGGTCTGGCCGCTCCTGCGGACTGGCTGCAGAGGGTAGTCGGTGGGGGCCGCTGTTCCCTCGTCTTGTGGCAGGGGGCGCACCACTCCCGAGCCGCATGGGCCCTTTCCACAGTCGTAATTCATCGGTTCCTCTGCCCCCCCCCCCCAACACCAAACACACCGTATGAAATGGTGACAGTGGGGAAGAAACCATGGTCACAACAACAACTCAAAAGGAAAACTAAGCTGGGCATTTCAGCAAACGGAGACCTCCTGAGCCAACTCCAGGCACCAAACAATTGCCTTGGAGCCCCTTGCGTGGCGGAGAGAAGGCCGGAAAGGAGGCCGGAGAGAGAGAGAGAGGGGCAGCCTCCTCACCCAAGACCCCTGGAAGGCCCTTGCGAAGGACCCGTGGGTCTGGCTCCCCACTCAAGTAGAATAGAATAACTGGTATTGTCACTCTACATCGTACAACAAGATTAAAGGCCACCCCTAATGCACATTAGATATGTAGGATTACAAAACAAAGCACCCCTCCTACCACATTCTAATTGTTACTGCAGAACCCCAAATGCCATATCAGTGTGAAACCGGAGAGTTCCATATAGTCACCACTTTAGGATATTTGTCCTTGCTTTTATTATCCTATAATGTCTGCTAGATGGTTTTGTTGTTGTTGTTGTTCATTCGTTCAGTCGTCTCCGACTCTTCGTGACCTCATGGACCAGCCCACGCCAGAGCTCCCTGTCGGCTCACCACCCCCAGCTCCTTCAAGGTCAGTCCAGTCACTTCAAGGATGCCATCCATCCATCTTGCCCTTGGTCGGCCCCTCTTCCTTTTGCCTTCCACTTTCCCCAGCATCATTCCCTTCTCTAAGCTTTCTGTCTTGTCATGATGTGTCAGCCCTCACCATCCCCAGCTCCTTCAAGGTCAATCCAGTCACTTCAAGGATGCCATCCATCCATTTTGCCCTGGTAAGCCCCTCTTCCTTTTCCTCCCATTTTCCCAAGCATCATTGTATTCTCTAGGTGACCTCATGGACCAGCCCACCCTAGAGCTCCCTGTCGGCCATCACCACCCCCAGATCCTTCAAGGTCAAGCCAGTCACTTCAAGGATGCCATCCATCGCCCTTGGTTGGCCCCTCTTCCTTTTTCCTTCCATTTTCCCCAGAATCATTGTCTTCTCTAGGGGACCTCATGGACCAGCCCACGCCAGAGCTCCCTGTCGGCCATCACCACCCCCAGCTCCTTCAAGGTCAAGCCAGTCACTTCAAGGATGCCATCCATCCATCTTGCCCTTGGTCGGCCCCTCTTCCTTTTTCCTTCCATTTTCCCCAGCATCATTGTCTTCTCTAAGCTTTCCTTTCTTCTCATGATGTGGCCAAAGTACTTCATCTTTCCCTCTACTATCCTTCCCTCCAGTGAGCAGTCGGGCTTTATTTCCTGAAGTATGGACTCGTTGGATCTTCTGGCGGTCCAAGACACTTCTCATGATGTGGCCAAAGGACTCCATCTTTGCCTCTACTATCCTTCCCTCCAATGAGCAGTGGGCTTTCTTTCCTGGAGGATGGACTGGTTGGATCTTCTCGTGGTCCAAGGCACTCTCAGCACTTTCCTCCAACACCACAGCTCAAAAGCATCGATCTTCCTTCGCTCAGCCTTCCCTAAGGTCCAGCTCTCACATCTGTAAGTGACTATGGGGAATACCATTGCTTTGACTATGCGGATCTTCATTGCCAGTGTGATGTCTCTACTCTTCACTATTTGCTAGATGGTAATAATAATAATAATAATAATAATAATAATAATAATAATAATAGAATACCCAGGGTAAGGTGGATCCTTAAGAAAAAAATTGGAGCTTTCATAGAATCATAGAATCAAAGAGTTGGAAGAGACCTCCTGGGCCATCATCCACTCCAATCCCATTCTGCCAAGAAGCAGGAATATTGCATTCAAATCACCCCTGACAGATGGCCATCCAGCCTCTGTTTAAAAGCCTCCAAAGAAGGAGCCTCCACCACACTCCGGCAAAGTGAGTCCCACTGTTAAACAGCTCTCACAGTCAGGAAGTTCTTTCTCATGTTCAGATGGAATCTCCTTTCTTGTAGTTTGAAGCCATTGTTCCGCGTAGTCTCCAGGGCATCAGAACACAAGCTTGCTCCCTCCTCCCTATGACTTCCTTTCACATATTTATACACGGCTATCATGTCTCCTCTCAACCCTCTCTTCAGGCTAAACATGCCCAGCTCTTTAAGCCGCTCCTCATAGGGCTTGTTCTCCAGACCCTTGATCATTTTAGTCGCCCTCCTCTGGACACATTCCAGCTTGTCAATATCTCTCTTGAATTGTGGTGCCCAGAATTGGACGCAATATTCCAGGTGAAGTGGTCTAACCAAAGCGGAATAGAGCATGGGGAGCATGACTTCCCTGGATCTAGACAGTATGCTCCTCTTGATGCCGGCCAAAATCCCATTGACTTTTTTGCCGCCACATCACATTCCTGGCTCATGTTTAACTTGTTGTCCACGAGGACTCCAAGATCTTTTTCACATGTCCTGCTCTCAAGCCAGGCATTTCTTCAGGCAGCAGGAATTGTAAACCATATGCAATTGCTGTTTCCTTAAAAGTGTCAGATCATACAATCTGTGCTGGTCCCTCTTAGCCAACACAGCTGCAGGTCAGGTCTTTCATAACACTCTAGCACCACCCAGGCCATCCCTGGAGGAAGCCTTCGGAAGTGCCTTGGTCCCCAATGGGCTCCAGGTATTTCAGGAAGGGAGGCCCAGTCCCTGCCCCTCGGTGCCATTCTGGGCCAGGGATCCCCGCCTCCCCCGGAGTCTGAAGAGGCCTTTCTGCCCAGAGGCCGGTCTCCCCTCCTTCCCTCCTCCCTGCGCCTGGCTTCTGCTTGAGAGAACAGGGCCGAGGAGTTCAAGGAGACCACGGATTCCATACAAACAACCCCTCTCTCTCTCCATCTCTCTCTTTTGTTGCAAAGGATCACCAAGATCAATCACGCACCAACCCTTTTCCAACTCAGAATGGGCTCCTCCAAGGTGATAAGGAGGGGGGGAGGGGGGGGGGCTGTCCATTCGAACGTGTTTCTCCACTGCAGGCTTGGCTGTATGTGCTCAGTGGGGAAGCATCCCTTTCTGCAAAGCCCACCGCTCTTCCCTGTCCCCGTTTCTCTTTACAAGCGGCCAGTCCGATGTGAGAGAAGGCACCATCCTGCAAATTTATAAATTAAAGCAGCGCAGCGCATGGGGGGGGGGGGAGTCCCAGAGGCTTTTTGAGAACATGTCATTCTGGGCCTTTGTGGCGTCACAAGGGGGAAGGAAGGCGCAAGGTTTGAGCAAAGTTAATTAAAAAGCCCAAGTGGGATGCCTTCAACGCGGGGCCAAAGGGCCAAGAAGCCAGCGGTGGCCCAACTGACCGCCGGTTCCTGGTGTTTTCCGGCATGTCCGCACATCCGCCGCTTTGTGGCCTGCGCACGGACTGGACTGGACGGACACACAAAGCCCCTGCGTGTCAGCCGGCCGTGCGGAGAGAGAGGCTGCGCTCACATTAACACACACACACGAGAAAGAAAGAGAGGGAGGCAGGGAGGGAGGAAGAGGCTCCGCGCTGTCATCTATCACCCATTGATCCACACATTTCAAATTAATTGGCAAAATTAATCCGATCCGATTTCCCTGATAAAGACCAGCGGGGAGGTTCGCGACACCTCTTCCAAGCCTTATTATTCCACTTTGCAAAACAGGTTCCTATATCTTCCTTGGCGCTACTTCCAGACCCCGGCCCTGAGCCTCCGCGCACTCCCTTTCCTCGGAAGAAGAAGGAATCGGGGTTTTTCCACTGGACGAAAATTCTGTGCGCCGTCCTTCGCCCGCAACCATATCACATCACGCTGAAATAA